GACTTGCATTTTAGTCATTTTCGCCTTTCTTAACGTACATTCCGCTCAATCCATTAAAGTAATCCTACAAAAACAATTTATAATGAATTAAGTCCCTTTTTGAGCCTTTATATCAACAATCAGTCGTGTTTTGTGCCATAATTAAGTGCGCAAAACGCACTTATCAAAAACTGTTGATAATTTTGTAAGAATGACTGGCCTTCAAACTACTACTTGGAATAGATTTGCCACGAGTAAATTGTTTGACATCATAGATGACATTATTTGACGTGGCAACACTCTAGACCATTGATTATAACAACACTTGTTCAAATCAGTGGCATAGTTTTCCACACATCACACAATGTCATCCAGGAATGCACAACTAGCATAATTCTGCTTGGAAATATATGGCGCATCTGCAAAGATGGGATTAAAAGAACTTGCTGTTAAAAAATAATCAATGGAACCTAGCTCAAGCTTGGAGAAAGCTGTTTGAAGCTCGCAGTTTATGATTTTAAAGTATATTACTAGATTTAATATTTGATCAGTTTAAAGTGAAACCTTTAATTATTTTTAAATATAATTGATTCTTTGTATATGAATTCTTTTGGTAATAACGCTCAAAACTAAAAATGTCAGTCTTGAACTCAATGTTTCAAAGCTGGAGACTGTTGAGCCTCAATATCCGGCTCGGTCTGGCAGGAACTCTAAAAGTTTGCATATAAAGCTCAGCTCTGATTGCGCGCTCCCGGCTCCCCTACTACAACCTTGGATTGCTATACAAAGCTTGTGATGATATTTCATATGCACTCCTTGGGCATGCATATCATTTTTTTTTTATTTCAATTCCATCATTGATTGCCATTCTCTAGGAGCTCATTCATGCATAAATCTTGTTCTCATGTACCAAAATACTCAATATTACCTGTTACGAGTCATAAATCGGAAGCGACACGTGACACCATATTTTAGCAATGGGACCAGCCTAATTAAATCGGGGTATATTTTCCTGGGCTCCGACGTGGATTCCGAGGCCTTGATTTGTTCCGAGGCCATTGTTGTTAGGTCACGGTTCGGTAGACATGCACTATCCGAGGCCCCTTTGTTGTAGCTAGTGGAGATCCACGTGGAAAGATACGGTAATAATGAAGATCTTTATTTCAATGATTGACATGACTTTTGTGTAAAGTACATTTGTGTCTTGTCTTGTCAATGTAAGAGCATTTAATGTTTTGTAAGGTTAGGAGAGTCAACTTGATAGTTAGGATTTGATATCTTGGCCGAGGAGATGAGGCCACGTGTAACTTGATCCAAATGTCACCATTTGATTTGTAATACTATAAATACTCCCACCATGTAACACAAGAGGGCTAATACAAATTCTGAATGAAATTCTAACTACTTGGAGCTATATTACTCTCTCGTTTTATCAGCATATTTTAACTACAAATCTTGTTCTTTATCAATTGGTTTCTTATACAATTGTGTTCTAGTTATCTCGCCAGAGGCCCGAACGGAGACGTCTCGTGTCGTTGAGCTCGTCCCACGTTTAGATTCTGGAGATATTCTAACCGTCGATCGGCATTCGACATTAACGTGTCGGATTTAGCTTACGTGTACACGAGTGGGCCCGGCATCTATTGGCAACATTTTTTGGGGTCAACATTGCCTGTCTTTTGGGAAGTTTATTTCCCAGCCATTACCGAAGATGGATTGTTAATAGATCGCAACTTGTAGATGAGTTCTTACCTTTTGAGATCCTTTTACAGCCCTTTTTTGTGATTGGAAAGGAAATGAAGGTTTAATATTGTCTGCATTTTATGGAAAAATGTCATGTGAATAATTTTCACGTTGGAGCGTCGGGAGTTTATAGAACCACTATTAATTGACTGTAACTAGAATCGTCTGCTAGATTGTTGAGTGCTTGAACATTTCTCTTGGGTTGTTCGTGATTTTCAGTAAGCTAAAGGATTTCGTCGTCTAATTACCGTTGGTGAATATTACATTTATATTGACATCTAATTGTGGTTTTTACCTATTGATAGGTTCCAAAAACATTTGTTGCTAGAGTATTTGGAAGCTCAAAGCTGGGAGGATCGGAAATTGTAGAATATTTGAAGGGACTTATTTACCTTTTTCTTACGACTTGAAATTGACTGGAAGTTGTCGACCATGATAGATCCTCACATTTAGCAGCTGTCATTTTTAGTGCGCGATAAAAGTTTATACGAGACAAATTTTTGCATTGAGTTCCACCGACATCACTTGGATTCTAACTTCTTTAATCAAAGACATCCTGACACTTTCAGGGAGTTGAACAATATTTTTATTTCTAATTTTATTATACTAGCAGTTTGATGACTTCATCAACTTTTTCCCATGAATTATGTGACTGGAAGAGAATTTTAGTGGATACATGTTCATGGACCTATGTATTTAACTATTTATGTCATGTTCACCCCCTTTTCCATAAACACAATTTGCAGAGGAAAATTTTGCTGTCAAAACCTATTTTCTTTATTTGATTATGAAGGTACAATTATTTTATTTCCCTTAAATTTAACCTAGACAGTTTCTTCAAAAAGAATTTCATGCTAAGCAATGAAAAATGATAACATCGGAAATGTGAAGATCGAAGAGTGTCAAGATGTTTTTGTTGAGTTGGATTAAAGACGTGGTAAGGGAGTAACGTTTCACGTGTTTTTCTCTCACTCAGTAATATTGTAATGTGTCAAAGATCAGAGGAAACATTTAATGCTTTATAAGAAAACCATACGAACACATATTTGGGGTCTTTGGTGTCTTCAAAGATCAAATGAACATCATCTGTTTTGATTATACAATATGCACAAAAACGCACAACTGAAGTGTTTTCACCAAATAATATATCCATCATACAATGTACTAATCAACAAGAATTGAGTATTGTAAGTAGCACACATTCAAATTCCTATAAGAACCCACATATAAAACGTTCTTTCAACTCGTACAAGCTTCAATTTTCCCCGCAAGATCCCCAAAACAAACCCCCTATGGCTAAGCTTAAAAAGTGTAATTATAAGTAAATTTTATAACTACTTTTAAGCTTAGTCAAACATGTTGAAAATCAGTTCTTTCTCACCTTTCTAACTCCGATTTTGCTCTCTGAAATGCAAGCTTTCTCCATACAGAGGCAGGGGAGGAGGCTTCTGGTTTTCCTTGTCCTCACTTTTACAACTCCTCAACGAATACCGAGGAACACTTCCCGATCTCCATTTCAATTTTTATATCTACTTGGAACTTTGAGTTTTCCTCGCTCTCTATTCTCTTCCTTGTAGGCATAATATTCCATTTCTCTTGTAGGCATAACATCCATTTTCTTTTTTATATTAAGCAACTAACGTGCAACGCACGTTCACCCCACTAGTAGTCATAAATTAGTCTATAATTGTCAATAATATAGTGCAACAGTACTCTCACGATCAAAATGACACATAATAAGCTCAATCTTTAAAATCAGCATTTGCTACTTTTGCAAGTATTTCAATTGATTATCGAACTTAGATAATAGTAAGAATTTGCTTTAATCACTTGAGCTAATCTTAATCTCACGATCGAGAAATTCTGTTTGCTTGTAAAAATGAAAATGGGTGAATTTGAATATGGATTTTATTGCAAGTAATTGTAAGTTGTAACTTGAATCAAAGCCCAAATACGTAAAGCGACAAGCTGGCAGACTGAGCGTGTGGGCTAGGTTGTTAGGCTCCAGCCCAACATTCTATTGTTTTACAAGAATGAAATTAGAGGAAATTACACCTACACCTGTTTTTAAATTTCCATTTTCAAAAATCATGTCACAAATTTAAAGTTTCAAAAATCAGGTTTTTTATATTTTATTAAATATATTATTTTCATCCTAATTAAAATAAATCTAACTCTAAAATTCATTCTAACCTCCCATCCCCATTTTCCCCTCCCCCATTTTCCCCTCCCCGTCCTCTCTCTCCTACCTCCGACCTCCCTCCGTCGGTCCCCCCCACCCACCCACCCACCTATGAATCTTCTGCCGGAGACTACAGACGTCTTACCGCCACCATCGAAGAGTCGCCGCCGCTGTAGAAGTGCACACAATCCTGCGATGTAGTTTCGCCGCCGCTACAGAGATCCCGTCGTCTTGGGCGGTGCTTGGCGGTGTCGCTGTATTTGTGGTTGCGGTGTGAAGGTGGGGTGTGCGTGAGTCGTGCAGTGGTGGTGATTCTTGTGCTGTGGTCCGGTATTTTTATTTTTTTTTGATGTTGTCCGGTATGGGACGGTAGTGGTGGTGGTGGGGTTTTTTGGTTGTGGTGTGGTATAGGCGACGGTTGTGTGGTGGCGGTTCTTTTTTGTTGTTGTTGGAGATGGTTTGGTGGTCGTGTGGTGCAGGTGGCGGTTGTTTGTGGTTTTGGTAGTGTTGTGCAGGTGGTGGTTGGTGCAGGCGGCGGTGGTTGGTGTAGGCGGCGGTGTTTGTAGCGATGGTGGTTGCTGGGGTGTTTGTGGCGGCGGCGGCGGTTTATGTGGTGGCAGTGGTGTGTTTATATGGTGTTGGCGGTGGAGACGACGGTGGTGTGGTGTTGGTGGTGGTCACAGATGATTTGTTGATTGTGACCATTAAATTGGTTGGTGTGTGACCAATAAAGAATAAATTGTGACCGATAAATACTTTGTGACTCACAAATTTATCAATTTGTGACCAATAAAAATTATTTGTGACCTATAATTCCTTGTTTTCATATTTTGTGACTATAAAATAAGATGTGTAACTTAAAAATTTTATAATTTGTGACCGATGAAACTATTGTGACTTTTAAATTTTTAATTTGTGACCGATGAATGAATTGTGACATATCAAATTTTTGAATTGTGACCTTAAAATTTTTGAATTGTGACCAAATTATATAGATTTGTGATCGTTATATATTTATTAATAAAATATATAATAAATTAAGTAATTCATAAATAAAATTAAATAAAAACCTGATTTTTGAAAATTAAAACATCTAAAACCTTAATTTTGAAATGTGTATAAGTAAAAGTAGGATTTATGTAGACTTCCCATAAAATTATAACATGAATCATGGTCGTTGTTCTTATACCTAAATCATTTACTGCACAATCAAAGGACATAGAATAACATTTAGTGCCTGTCTGACACGGTTTTGTGAAAGATTTTCATCAGAATTTTTACCTTGTCAAACTGCAAATGGATCCCAATGTGACCAGACGTAGCCTTAACACAACAAAGAAATACATGCATTAAAACACACTAATTTACTTCAATGGAATACTCATTGAAATATTCTAGAAAGAATCAAAGGACTCTTCTAGACTCCCCGGTCACTGAGGATGACGACCAGCACAATGAGCCCTTATCATTCGTTGAGGAGGTCCCTCTTCCTATCATTCATATTGCGGATGCGGTTCTGGATCGAGAGCAAGCGAATGCTCCTATTTACAACAGTTTAAACAAATAGTTAATAAAAACCTTTCAAAAAAATTAGTTAACAAATAACATTTTTAATAAATTTTATTAATGTTTCAAAAAAGAAAATAAAAACATAACTTTTACTAAGCCCATGTTTCGTACAAATTAAATTCAAGATTTTACTTTAAGTTAAAGTCAACAATTATTTATAATCACATATTTTATAGGACTCATAGCTTTTCAATCTCATATTTTATCAACTTCTATCAAAATCTACTAAAAATCTAATTTTAATCCCATCAAACGAGGGCTAAAATTGTTTAAAAATACGTACAATTTTTTTAAAAAAAATAAGTAAGAGTATGAAAAGCAAAAAAATAGAAGGAGGAGAAGCTTGCAAAATGGCCTAATGCTCCACCAGAAAAATATTAGACCATTAATTTAATTTTTCAACAATGAATTGTGGAAATACAAACATTTAGCCCATGTTTTGGTCCAAATTAAAATCTGATTTTAATCTAAATTAAAGTCAAACAATCAATATTAACCACATCTTTCATGGGTCCCACAACTTTTCAATCACACATTTTAAAAACTTCTATCACAATCTATTAAAAATCTAATTTTAATTCTCACCAAGCACCCTCTTAACTTGTCCCCCAATCCACCACCACTCACCCCAGCTTGATATTCATTTTTCCCTCTCAGTCATTGTTCACGAAAATATGTTTTGAATTTAAATCACCGCAAGTGCATGGTTCGTTGACAAGTAATAAAGTGAAAATCCTAGAATTTCGAGTATCGTTCCCATGAGAATTGATTTAACTTGATTTTTATTATCGCGACCTTAATCGAATCTATTAAATTTGATATGAGTTTTTCAATTTCTATAATTAAACTAAAATTAGCATGCAGATTAAACTAAAATTACGACTTGAATGCAAAAATGACGTTTCAATGCAAAATATTTGAATGAAATTAATGTATGAAAAAGCGCACTAGGATCTCGAATCATCAAGTAAAGTTCCCTTTTAACCCATATTTCACAATTTGATAACACGATGAATTGGTTGAAGAATCAATATTTCTAACTTATCCAACAATCTCTTTCGAGTAGATTTGAACTTATTCTAGCATATCCATTTGACTATATTTCTATGACAAATGCAATATACAAGAATGCATGACGTTTTGTAAACACTTAGAGATTGTAAGTAAAGTAAAACGATATATTTCTATCCCTATGAACCCTACAATGATTTATACTTTGTTGAGTTTATTTCCCTTCTTTCGAATGCATAAAATAAACCACCCAAACTCACACAGTTATCGTGCCCTATAATCATGGAGGCAAGAAAGTGTATATAAATCATTCAACATCCATCAAACGTGTTTAAATATCAAATTGCAAAATAGAAATTAAAAAATCACAATGCGAGGTTTATCATTCACCTAATACATAAAAAATCTAACCTAATATGGATAAAATAAAATAATAATAAAAATAGTAAAGAGAAGACACCACCCAAAAACTAGAAATTAGACTTGAAATCTTGAATGAAATCCTTGTTCTCGCCTTCTTGTTAGCTCTCCAATGTGTTTTTCTCTCAAAGAATGTGTCCCCCGTAGTTCTGGACGAGTTTTTGGTTAAATAGGTCGTCAAAATACCCTACAATAAGAAATTTGCGTCCAGAATGAACCATGCGACTGAATGGTATAAACTCATGCGACAACATGGTTATACAAATTTTGCACTATTCATCTCCTGTTAGTGCTTGGGTGACTGGATGAACTTTCTACCATGGGACTGCATGGTAGAAATTATTTTCTCTTTGGTTCACTTTGGTATCCAAGTTTGTTTCATCCACCTTTTGGCATTGCTTCCTTCTTCTTCTTCTTCTTCTTCTAACATCCCATGATATCACAATGTGTCACTTAACTCAATTCCATACTTGATTCACCATTCGGGTCATCTTTTAAATAATTATATTTTGGTCTCCGAAGTTTCATTTTCTTCCAATTTGGTCCTTTTTCGCTCGCTTTTGCATACTCTTCATTCCATCCATCAATGTAATCCTACAAATATAAATTATATCGGATTAAGCCATATTTCAACATATATATCGACAATTTTTCATATTTTGTGGCCTAAATAAGTGCGCAAAACGCACTTATCAGTCATAAACCCCAACTTTCCCAAATTATCTTCTTTCACTTGACACACATTTTCCTCTCTCAACAGCCGCCAATGGAGAGAACGGTGTTACGCTCCATCTCCTCCTCTTCTTCTCCGTCCTCTCCACTCGCCTTCGTTGGAATATTCTCCCGATCCGTTTTCAGATTCTCTCGCCTCTCATCTATCACCCCAAAACGACACCGTTTTATCCCCAACGTACAGGCGCTCTCTTCTTCACAATCATCTCCGTTTCATCTCCACCTTGACCCGTCCTTCGCTTCAGTTGAAAAGACACTATTGTCTATCAGTCCAAGCCACTGTCACATCTTCTATCCAGTCAGCTCCAGGTACCTTAACGCCTTTTACGATCAAGATACTATGATTAATTGTATATGATTTTGGATTTAATTTAATTTTTTAGAGGTTTTGGTGGCGGATAATGACTTGGCGGAGAAGCTCGGGTTCGAGAAAGTGTCGGAGGAATTCGTTGAAGAGTGTAAATCTAGAGCTGTTTTGTATAAGCATAAAAAGACTGAAACTAAGGTCATGTCCATGTCGAATGACGATGAGAATAAAGCCTTTGGAATTGTTTTCCGGACTCCTCCGTGAGTACATATGTACACATCTTGAATATTTTGACATGTATACGCCATTGCTTGTATATACTCATGCATTCACATTATTAATTCATGTAAACCTCATAATTTAGAAAATTAATCAAGTCAGTCTTCGTAGTTCGTAGCATTAGTTTGTGGAGATGGAAGAGAATAAAATAGAATAAACTATGTAATTCTGAATTAAAAGAGATCTTTCAGGTCACTGAAGATCTATGTAAATGTGTAATATATTTGGATATAAATCTATATGCAGGGAAATTTGAGTGTTTTCTGGACTGGTAGTCTGTGAATTTTTATAAATAATATGTGCTCCCTAGCTACTCATATGCAGTATGCTACACTTGAAGGATTTTCTTATTGGCTTAGTTTAAGTAGGAAAATTGTTTTCTTATCCATTGTTTGGTGTCTGGTTGACTGTTTTCCAGCTTAAAGTAAAGTGGAAGGGAAAAATAATTTCCTTGGTAGTAGTGGTAGATAATGCTGCATGGTGCAGACTGTGCAGTGACACAGGTGCCGTGGAATAGTGGCATCCCATTTTTGTGGGAGTGGTCATGTGGTGGATTTTTTTCACTTTCCCTTCCTCCTTTTTTGGTGATATTTCGTTTCCCTTTTTAACATAGATTACGAGCTCGATTTAAGCCAAATTTTTGGAATATTATTTCTTTTATTACGTACTTTCTTTTTGTATGAATATTAGGATTTTGCTATTTTTGGTTTCCGATGTCGCTATTCTGCCCAGCGTCAGCTACCAACGAGATTGTCATCGGCGTTTCATGCTACCAACGCTACATGACCTCTCGAGAGCCTTGTCGTCGCTGCGTGCTACCAATGAGAACGCCTTCATTGTTTCGTGCTACCAACACTCCATGGCCTCTCGCAGCGTGCTAGCCGCCGAAATACGACACCGTTAGATAGAGAAAAGAAAAAAGATAGAGAGAGAACAAAGAAAAAAAGAGAAGGCTATGGAAATATTTAGGATTTGGAAGTGAGGTGGGTTGGGTTGGGTTGGGTTGGATGGGGGTATGTTAATTTATTTTATTTTATTTTATATTTAAAATTTTAATTATACTAGTAAGAGTTGAACGTGCGTTGCACGTTATTATGAAATGCTTTATAAATGTTGTGAAAGTAATATTTGATCATTTATTTACCATTTTGATCTAAATATGAGAGAAATGCAAGCTCTTGAAAGTAAATGTTAATTATTATACATGTATGTAAATAGTGAAATACATACTTGAACATGAGTATTAGAATTACAACTAAATGTATAAATGAAGATAAATAACAAATACGATACATAAATTAACGTGAATACTAATTATTTTAGAATTAATATAAAGGAATATATATGTGACAATGAATGCTAAAATATTTATACTAAATGAAAAAAATTAATTTTCAATTAAGTGAAACTGGATGTTAATTATAATACATGGACGTGAGTAACAAACTTCATTTTTGAATTTGAAATTCTAATTAATATTAATTAAATGAATGTGAATGTTACTATTAATTTTAATTAGTTGATAATTAATAACAACAACATGGACGTGAATGTGAGTTTGAAATTCTAATTAATATTAATTAAATGAATATAAATATTAATTAATTGAAGTGAATGTGAATGTGAATGTGAATGTGAATGTGAAATTCTAATTACTACTAATTAAGTGAATGTGAATGTTAATTCTTTGAGAATTAATTACAGTGAATACATGCATAAACAAAAATTTTATATTATTTATTACAGTTTGTAAATTAAATACACATTGAAAAACGAAAAGTCGTATATTATTAAAATAATTGAATTATAGTAGGGTTATAATCGTCCAAAAAATGATTCTCACTTGATGTTATATTTGGCCCCCATTTGGTGCACATTTTTGGAAAAAGAATGCATTTTTACTGTTGATGTGATAGAGAATATGTAGTTGAAAAAGAAAGAAAAAATTATTGATGTAATGGAAAATATTATTTTATTGAAAAATGTGTTGTTGAAAATGAGTAAAAGAATGAAAATGTAAAAATTAATGTGGCTCAAACGGGGCCTTAATATGTTATAGATCTGATTTTTGAAAAAAAAAACAAAAAAACTTGTAAATCTTAATTGTGAATCGAGATCTTGAAAACACTTAGGGGTTGTTTGATGGAAATTAAAATTAGATTTTTAGTAGATTTTGATAAAATTTGATGGAATGTGGTTGAAAAGTTGCGGGACGAATGAAATATGTGGTTAATATTGATTATTTGACTTTGACTTTAATCAATACCAAACAAGGGCTTAATCTCTGTAATATCCACTTGTACTATTGGCCCACAACTTATTGCTCAAGTAACAAAATAATGCACAACCTTTAAAAAAACTATTCGATCCCAAATATTTCAATATAGATGAAAAATAAGTTTTCATAAAGAAAACCGACTTAATTTCTACTAAATTATCATTTGTCCTCACCTATCCGGCTCTATGAAATTAAGTAATTGCTCCACAATTTGAGGCGATAGTGAAAAGTTTAAAATGAGACATATTTATACTAAGGTCGCATGACTATATAGTGAAGACTTTGACGGTTTTCGTAAGTGAAGAACCATTATACAACTATAATGAAATACTAAAATCAACTTGCTTTGTATTAAAAATAGTTGGGTCCAAATTTTGGGGAACGTGAAGAAAATTCATAAAGGATTAAGATGTATTTCCAAAGTGAACAGTACGATACAACAACTTGGTTATAGAGGCTCGGGTTGTTCCATAGTAAACGCAATAACCACTAGTACACTTAGACGAAAAGCAAGAGCTATATTTAGACCAGGATGTATAGTTTGTTTGGGCTTCGAGATACTGCAAGAGGTGTTTAACTACTTTCCTATGAACATGAGTAGGTCGGTGTATGAATTAACTTACTTTGTTGAAAACAAAGTTATGTTATGGATGGGCGGGCGGGCGGGTGGGTGGGAGTGAGATATTGGAGAGCACCAATGCTACTAAGATACAAAGTGGCATTTTCAAGGGGAACACCATCATACCGAGAGGCTTGGAAAGCAATTGAAAACATCGTCACAATGGAAGAAACACATGTCATTTGAGTCTTACTAAGAAAATCTTGAATGTACTTCGCTTCAGTAAGGCGAATACCAGAAGCATTGCGTATAACCTCAATGCCAAGAAAAAAATGGAGCTCACCTATGTCTTTGAGAGCAAACCTGTAATGAAGATCCGAAATAAATGTAGAGATCAACTTAGAAAAGTTACCTTTGACCAGTGTATCATCAACATAAATGAGCAAGGCGGCCATATAATACTTGGATGCGTAAATCTACAAAGAATAACCATGTTTTGAGCTTGAGAATCCCCAACTAGGCATCGTACAAGCGAGCTCATTGAACCAGGCTTAGGGCGCTTGTTTAAGGCCATAAAAAGCTTATATTTTGTCCAAACCTTAGGGTGCTATAGTCCAATTTATTTATATGGTCTCTCGATTAGTGTATCTGTCATCTTTCCACACTTGCACAATTGATGTAAGATAGTATTTGTAAGTCTTGTGATATATTACTGTTGTATTTTTTACATCACAATTATACGATATCATAACAAGCAGCAGGGCCGGACTTGAGGAGAGGCCCAAGAGGCCGCCGCCTCAGGCCTAGAATTTTTAAGGGCCCATTTTTTAAAAAAAAAATTAACCTAAAAAGCTAAAAGCCTAAAACCATATTCACTTCTCCCTCCACAGACAGACCACTGTTACGACACTGGCAGAGGCAACTCATCATCTGTTTGCAAATCTAAGTAGCTATACACAGCTACGATTATTATTGTTCTCTATTCTTTTATAGCTGTAATTTCTCACTGTAGATTTAATACAGAATTTTTAAACTGACGATGTTTACATACATTAATTGAGTACAAGTTTTGTTTAGGAGATGTCTGTGTTGATGAAGATTTGTTCGGGATTTTGTATACTATGTTTATTTTGTTAATTACATATTGCTAAGGGTTTTTATATTTAATTCGAGTTCAATGCAACAAGTTCCACTATAAAGTACATTGTGTATTCGTTATATTTTTATTTGTAGTTGGTTATTTGATTCGATAGTTTAATTAAATATCAGATTGGTTCACTGATCTAAAAGTTTTAAGTTAAAAATTGTAAACTAAAGAAAATGCTTTTTTTTTTTCAGTTTTAGTGGGTAGATTACTGATGGGCACAATTGGCTCATTGCTTTTCTGTTTGCATATTTTATTTGTTTTTCTGTGGATTCAGGTGCTTTCAATTTTTGAATCTATGATTGTATATATATTACTACTTATCTGGTTTTGGCTTAAGTAGGTGTGAATTTGAACTGGTTGAAAATCTACATTTGCTCATGTTAGTTGTTATGTTCAATTTTGGTAATGTAATCTCTAATGGGATTTTGTAAATTGAATATGTATTGTTAATGTTCTGGGTTTGGTTTAATTAGGTGTGCAATTCTAAGTGACCGTATACATAATTAGTTGTTCTGGCCTGTGGGTTTGAGACAAATCCCAGAAATTTCTTAGGCTATTCAGGGAGAAACTGAATGAGAATTTAGTTGTTGATATGTTAAAGAATGTACAAAGTACTAAATTAGGTGTCAAGCTCTTCATGTGGATAGGTAGGCAAATAGGATATACTAATAGTTTAGCTGTTTATAATTCTGTTTTAGATTTATTGAGTTGCGGTAAATATGACCGAATACCGAACCATTTTTTATAAGAAATTAGGGATGATGATAGATAAGTGCTTGGGAGATGGGTTAATGTACTATTCAGAAATGTTGTAGAAATGGGATGTGGAATTTGGCTTTGGAGGAGTTATGGAGGCTCAAGTATTTCGGGCATAAGTCTTCAAGAGCCACATAAAATGCTTGATACAGGAATAGTATTGAACAAAGTCAATGTCAGCAATTTCGCGCGATGCCTTTGCGGGGTTGGAAAGTATGAGAAATCATATACTGTGATTCATGAAA